TTTTAATAGTAGGGCATTTTAGATACAAAAAGATTTCAAAGCTTATATCTAGAGATTTTTGGTGGTTGCAAATGTAGAAGACAATAAAAGACTTTGTCTAGTCATGTGATGTTTGTTCAAGTTCAAAACTCCTTGTCATCTATCTTATGGACTTTTCCAACCATTGCCTATATCTGAACAACCATGGTCTTTCATTTCTATGGATTTTATTACAAATCTTTCAAGTTCAAGTTCATATGTTTCTATATTTGTAATTATAGATTGCTTCACCAAAATGAAAAAAAAAATTACCTTGTACAAATTTTATTTCAAATGAAGAAATAGCTAAGTTTTTCATTAATAATATCTATCATGGATTGTCAAAGGATATTATAATAGATAGAGTGACTCAATTTGTATCAAGATTTTAAAGAACCCTATTCAAGTTTCTAAAGGTGGATATAAAACTCTCTTTGGCTTTTCATCTTCAAACTGATAGGCAAATAAAATGGGTGAATCAAGTTTTAGATGAGTATTTGAAGTATACCATCAACTATCATCAAGATGATTGGATAATTCTTGTCATTGGCAGAGTTTGCATACAATAATTCCATACATTCTTCTACTAAACAAACACCTTTCTTTGCCAATTATGGTTATCATCCATGACTTGATATTTTCGACTTTTCAAAAGTGGATAATCTTAAGGTGGAAGATTTAGCAAATTATTTTCCAGAGCTACATGAAATAATGAAGACACAATTAAAAGAAGCTTAAGAATGACAAAAGACCAATGTGGATGTTTATTCAAAGAAGTAACCACAATTCAATGTGGGTGACAAGGTATGGTTACTTTGTCGCAATATCAATACTACTCATCCTTGTAATAAGTTAGACTATTGTAAGTTCAGACCTTTTTTTATTTGTAAACAAATCGATCATGTTGCTTATTGATTACATCTACCAAAGTCTATAAAGATCCATCTTATATTTTGCATATCTCATCTTGAGCCATATAAGACAGTGAATATTTTGAGAAGAAGACAAATGCCATATCTTCCTATACAAATAGATAATAATCAAGAGTTTAAGGTAGAAGAAATTTTAGATTCAAGGTAGTGCCAAAATAGATTAGAATATCTTGTTCATTGGCATGAATATGATATTAGTGAATGCACATGGGAGCCAGCAAAGAGTCTTGCAAATGCAATAAAGAGAGTTGAAGCTTTTCATTAATGACATCCATCATAACTAAAATAAAGAATTAAAAATAAAATAAAATAAAATAAAATTGCTATAAAAGAAATAAGATCAAAGGAAGATAATATTCTATCTTCTATCTTTCTATGTAGCTTCTATGTATTTGTCATGCTAAGGAGATGGAAAACCAAAAACCAACAGATACAACTCAAGAGCTTTCATGTATAGAGTTACCAAAAAAAATATTGTAATTATCACAACCTTCAAGACAATGAAATCAAGATGAAGATCCTGAAGAATGACATATCTTTCCTCAAATAGACAATAAGATAGAATAAGTTTGATATCACAACCTTCAAAGAGAGTCATGATGTTTGGTGATTTTATTAGAAGTAAGAACAATTCCTAATGGTATTTTAAATGTTTTATTTGAAGGAAGTTAGAAAGGCTTTAATAATGATCAAATAATAGGATCTTTTTGCCTCGATATAGAATACTATCAATAGCTTAGAGGACCTATTAGCCATCTTTGATTAGAATAAAGATCAAAGTATGTAGCAAATATAATTCATCGCATCTTAAATTTTTTTCAACATATGAAGACCGCTCCTTATGGAACTAGTCCCTAGAAGGGAAGGTAATGTCACGAACATACATAGGTAGTCTATTAAATATCTATATAATTAGGTAGGAGTAGGTAAAAATAAATAAAAATAGGTTAATTTTATAAGATCTTCTAGAAAAGCTTCCTAGAAGCTTCATAGATAAAGTTTTGTATTTAGATGTGTTTATAGATTAGAAACTTGGCCAACAAGTTAACCACATGTTGGTAGCTTATGGAACAAGTTAACTCCATATAGTAGCTTAAGGAATAAGCTAATTATGTGGTGCATATATAGATAACTTGCCTTAGAAGTTAAGACATGTGGCCAACAAAGTGACTACATGTTGGAGGTCTTATAGAATATCGCTACATAGCTCCTAGTTAGAGAGTATATATGGAGGTAAGAGTGAAGTCTTCTTCACTCTTGTCAATGCCTTTCTAGTCTTTAGTCTTGTTTCCAGACTTTCTAGTCTTCTTGTTTTTAGCAATAGCCATTCTAGTGCAATAATATATTATCTTTGAGTAACGTTCTAGTTCCTTTCAAAAATACAAGAGTGTATTGAGGATTTTCTTTCTTCGAGATTCTTGTCCTTGATAGTATATTGATATCATAAGTGACTTAATAAGAAGTGCTCCAATAAGATTAAAGTAAATCAACTCCAATACATGCTTTGTTCAATATAAAGAATATTTAGAAAAAAAACATTCTTTGGCTTATAAATTGAAGTAACAAACTTTACAAACTTTATCATAAGAAGGTAAGTGATGCATATTATAGATTCTATATTTATAAGAAAGATAAAAAAAAAAAAAAAAAAAAAAAAAAAAAAAAAAAAATCTATGTATTGAAGGTGCCTAAATCTCTTATATCATAATTGTATTTGATTTTTTGTGATTTTCATATTTGAAGCACTTTTCAATACAATTTTATAGAATCTATTGGTCTTTTATCTTGCCTATATAGCTAATACGCATTTTTATTGTAGGTTGCTCCAAACTAAGCATTGTGAATTTATAAATATAATTACATTCTTTTTATTAATTAAGGCGCCTACATATATGAGACTTTTGCTAATGCTTGGAATTTCAAAAATATTTGTAACTTTTATTTCTTTATTTTTGATAGAAAAAAATTATAACAATAATAATAATAATAATAATAATACTTCTTCTAGCTTTAATTAAATGAGCTTTGTTTCTAGATGCTTGAATTTTTTTCTCCAAGATTGTTTGTATAAATTAGGCTTAGTTTACTCTCTTATTACTAGTAATGTGCTAAAAAATACCAAAGTCCAATAATAAAAGTTTAAAATATTATCAAATTATAAGTTTCACAAAGCTCTCACTTCCATCCTTTTCATTGGTCATCTTGTACTTACACTTAAAATCAAGCATTGAAATAAAGTGCACCAATAATGTCTAAAAACTAATTTTTTTAATAAGAAGAAGGAGCATTATGAGAGATAATACCAAAGATGAATAAAACTTGACATCATCTATATTGCTTAGGCTTTTGAATGATGCTATGTTTGTAACAAATTATTTATCCATAATAGAGAGTTTCAAACATGGCCTTTTTAAATGATATATTACATTTTTTTTATAAATATTTTTTTAACTTCATTAAAATGCTTCTACTATGTTATTAATAGTATATATATATATATATATATATATATATATATATATATAATTATAAAGACTTGTTTATTTTAGAATTTTAGAATTTAGAATTTTTGTAGCAAGAAATGTGAATAATTTTATTTTTTTGAAATATATGTATCATACTTCCTAAAATTCTAATATGATAGCAAATCAAGTAACTTTTTATTTACAATATTTTAGTAAAAGATTAAAAACAAATAAAAATAAACATGCAGTATTCACTTTTTTACTATATAGAAAGAAAAAATAAAAATAAAAATGCATGAATGGTGTTTATTATCTTACTTCATTGACACATTCTTCAAATAAGTCAGTAAAGCATTTAAGGAACATAAAATATTCAAATTTAATATGATATTAAAATTTTGAATGTGGTCAAATCTGGAATTACACAAATGAAAAAAATTAAGAAAGCACTTCACAATCATTAAAAATAATAATAATAACAATAATAATAATACTTTCTGTGGATAATTTAAATCGATTTAGTATTTACATTTCTATGCAATCTCATGCATGGCAGTTACATAAAAATAAGTTCATAAAAGTTTCCTTCCTTTAGAATTAGTACATAAATTCAACAACAAACAAGAACTGTATTTTCTTTGTAAAAGTATGAAAAAGAGAACATTAAAATGTTTCTTCTTCAAGACCACAAACAGAGATTTGCTATCTACGAAAGATGGAACTTAAAAAAATTTATTGGTAAACGAGCCTAATCAGGTTATTGACTGCGATTCGATTTGGTATTGATGGTTGGTTGTTTTCTTAGTTATTAATGAATCAATCAATCAATGTGTCGCAATTAAACCGTTAAGCGCATTAAATACATGCACATAGTTTAATTAAAAAGTAGACCCAGAAAGTTGCATGCATCAAGACAAGCGCACAAAAGATTCTCCAAACATTACAATACCATGTAAATCTAACTAAGATTTTCTTATACCTGTTTATATGGATAATTATTAATATACATGTACATAAATATATTGGCATGCATGAACTCGTCTGCAACCTCATCAATTTGTCTAAAACCCCAGAAACCTTCATAATCATGTATAGCACTTCATTTACCAGTCACATTTGTGTACAAACATTTCTACTGTTTACAGTGTTATTAAAAGAATGTTTTGTCTGATGGTGGTTTCACGTTTTTGAATTATCATATGTACAATCCATTAGAAACTACAACAGTATTGAAAAGTTATTCCTGTGGGTTACTTCTTAGGGTTTCCGCGAATGCCCTCGCGTATGTTCCACTGCCACTCTCGCGTCGGGTTGGCGGTGAGCTCCTACAACAGTGATGGCCATTTAGTTTGACGACACCCGATCACGTAGTTTACAACTTCTCCCAGGTTGTTCACACTCTTGGGGACCACGTCTTTGAGGGAGAAAAGTGTTTGAATGTGGAGTACCACAACGAAAAAGGTTTTAAAGACTACGGTATCGCTCACACAGAGTATGATCACGGATTCATGCTTCAAGGTCACTGTAGAGATTGTTAGGTTGTCGACGGGCCAGTAAAGTGAAGTGAAATTGCAGCGGAGAACAATAACGCTCAATAACTAGTCATATCATGAAATACTCATTCAACGATATACTCGTAGTTGCTGAGAAAATGTATCAAGAGAAAGTTGGCATCGTGAAGAAATAAAGTTGCTGCACAGTCTCTTCAAAAATCAGCGCCCCTCAGATGCCGTTTGAACTACTCGAAGTTGCAGCTAGTATAGCAATATATCAACCCTAAAAGAATATTTTTTCGGGGTAGGCACTATTGCAGGCTTCAGTAAGCTCTCTACCTGCCTTGCTCTCTTAACCTACTAAGTAATACCCTCCCACGGAAATGAAAATTTCGAAGCTCAATTGCCTGCCGCACCACTTAGAGATGATCTGTCCAGAGCTTTTTGCCCTGTCGCGATGGCCTGCACGAAACCGAGGAGCAGATGCGATCTCCGTCCGGCTTGGTTGTCAAAATTAGCCTCCATAACAGTAAACGGACGTCAAGATTTACGGTCACCAAGACAGCTCCCCGCACTATTCGGGCGCCATTCACACAATCTTCTCATGTGAGACACATATTCTTGTTCTTCATTGCTGTCGCACGAGGAAGCCACAGCTCCCATGGCCACAAGCAATACAAAGTTCTGTGTCGGCTTGCCAACCTCCTGAACCATTCAGTAGAACTCATGTAAGGAAAAATAGAAAGAACCTTATGTACTAGCCGCCCGCAGAATGTTGAAACGTCATTCATTGATAAACTAGTAAGCGGGAATTCGCGAGTAAGAATATCCCTTGTAGCCGCGCCAAGAGTAGTAGGCAATGCGGGTCTCGTAAAAGCCCGGAAGGAAGAGAAGGATGCCGAGAACCAAAAAGCCGTAAGCCTGAGAGGAGTCCCCTTCCATGTGCTGGGTGTAGATGAAGTGCGAAATGACGAGGAACAGGCAGCCAAACGCAAGCAAGACGACGGCCAGGGCAATAGACTTCCATGGCACGTCCTCAGGGAGCTCAAACCGGTAGCGAAGGTCCTCATGCGCCGCAGTTGAGAGCCCAGAGAATGATGACGATTTCTCTCGCCGATCATCTTGAAGAGATGCTAGCGCCGAGTAACGGATGTGAGGGCGCTCCCCTATCTCTCCCCTCATTGTAAACCGTAAACTTTGCATGCAGGTAATGTAAACCTAAGGTATCATCTGACTGCAACTGCGATCTGTTGAATCATCTGGTCACTGAAGATACGATAGTTTATCACCAGCCGGTCCTACGTCTCCTTGGAGATTCTTTGATTACATCTTTACTCATACGGTCGCGTTCAGAGGCTTTCATAGGCGGGGAGAGGTAGCCAGTCGAACCAAGAGAGAGGTAGTGCTCGAATGTTGCTTTCCCAATACAGACAGTGGCACAACAATCTTTCCAAACCTGTCTTTGGAAGGAAAACCAATCAGCTGTATCCTTCCATGCCACTTGATGACGGTCTATACTGTGAAGCAAGCTCCAAAGAACACTTTGCAGAAGACAAATCCCCTGCAGCCAAACGAAGCGTTTCTCTGAGTACCTTGTACCGTGTAATTCCACTCTCACAGTTCCTGTCGTTACAAAATCGGCTCCCCCATCACCTTTGCGGAAGAGAAGTCAGAACGCTCAGTACCACTTTGATGCACACCAACCCTCCAACTGCGAAGGAAGAAGATATTGGATGAGAACATACAGAAGAAGCATTACCAGTTGACGTCCATGTGAGGACAATGCCGGCGGAGGAAGGAGGAGGCAGAAGCCCAATAGGAAGAAGTAAGGAGCACATTAAGCTCGTCGACAGCCGAGGTACTGAAGCGCAGCCGACGACATACGAAGCTGGATTTCCTGTCAGTTCCTATCCTGGCGCCCAGGCTACGAAATCGCCACCACTCAGGCTATCATAGCACAGAAGAGGAAATGCCTCACACGAATAAGCTGACAGGAAAAAACGACGACTGCCAGGCAGCGTAGATCAGTAACCCCGGCACTGACCAATGAACTACGGTGATCAAGTGCATGTCACCATTCAAGCGGGTTGACATGCGAAGCTCACTGTGACCAATTTTCCAAGCAGACGCGGCTCCTCGATATCAAGCTTCAACCTGTCACCGAACACAAAGCTACAGTATGAAAGAACCACAAAAAATCACGAAGAGAAACTCTTGAATAAAGCCAGATACCCACCGCCATGACTTCCACTTCAGGATATTAACGGTCAGAAGCTTCTACTACCGGAGGAGTGTGAACAGCAAGGCACCAAAACCGTGCGCGAAAACAAACCGAGTGGAATTAAGAAGCTATTCTGAGGAGCAAGTAGATGAGCTCGACACAGGCAGTCAGCACACGGGAAGATGCAGTCACGTTGGCATGCTCCCATGTACCAACAATCTGGCACGACGAGGAAGCAGCACGGTGCAATGTCTAAACGATTGAAAAGTTCCATTCTCAGGGATTTAACTACCCCCCCCCCAAATACTACCGAATAAACATTTCAAAGAAACCAAAAAAACAAAACAATTGAAATAAATTGTGGGGAAGCGGCGGCAGGCTTTGCAGAGAAGGAGAGAGAGATAAATGCCATGAAGGAGAGAGAAGCAGCGGGGGATTTTTTGAACCCTCGTTTACCTTGAAGAGCGCAGACAGGCAGACAGGCAGAGGGAGGGAGGCAGAGACATGCAGCAGCCAGGCAGGCAGTGCAGCAGCAGCGGCAGGGTAATGCTGCTGGTCGCGCCGTCCAGCATGGAAGAGGAGGAGAGGGACTGAGACGACGAGGGAGAGGAGAATGGAAGAAGAAGATGAAGGGAGGAGGTGGAGGAAGAGGAGCTGAAAGGGCGATGACGATGGCAAAAGTGCAGCATTCAGCAGTAGTAGCATCATCAGCAACAGCATTAGCAGCACTAGCCCGGTTTCCGATTCCCAGTTTGCGGCCTTGGCCAGGAGGGTTCCAGGAAAGCAGTCGTGTTACGTGTCAAGTGTTGTCTGCGTGAGAACGACTCTTCTGAGCGAGAGAGAGAGAGGTTGTTGAGTTGATACCCTGACGTAATGCCCTGACCATGGAGAGAGAGTGAGTGGGGCACTTCTTCCTCATTCCCTCCCTAACTCCCTCCCTCCCGTCACTGCCTCTTTCCTTTGTATCATTTTGTGAATCAAAAGGATTGGACTGAACAAGGATTGGATTAGATTGGATTAGATTGGATTTGGAATGCTTGCCCAGACAGACAGGCAGAGAGAAAGAAAGAATGAATGAATGAATGAATGATGGATCATGTGCTTATGTCCTTGTTCTCCGATATTCTGCTGCTGCTTCTGATACTATTAACCACCACTATTACATTTTTACTTCCTGTGGATTGGGGGGGGAGGTATGAGATCGACTGCTGCTGGTGGGGCAGGCTCAAATAGTAGGTATGGGGACAGGTTTCCGCTAATTGAATGCCCACCTCAGTATACCCAACCCAACTCACCAACAGAGCAAGTGAGAGTATGTGAGAAGTGTATACATACATACATACATGTGTGTGTGTGTGTAGTTAACTTGGAATCCTGGTTTATGTTGTTGGAATCTCTTGTTATCCTGTGAATGGACTCGTAGTCTCATCATCTCCCTCTCTATTGTTCTCTCCATTTGTGGAACTGCTGCTGAGGGCTTCCCTCCATAGATGGCAACTTCTGCCATTCTGCAGATACACAATGCAGTAAGCATGCTTGTAAGTATTCCTACTGCATCTTTCATGGACCCCCCTTGTCTTTCAGAAAGAGGGATGAAGGAGTACTATTGATGAAGGACAGAGAGAGAGAGAGCAAGAAAGAGTAGGAGGAGGAAGGTAGGTCGTAGTAGTCATAGAGGTAGGTAGCAAAAACACAGTGCATATGTCAAGTTAGGAAGGGGTAATAGTGATAGAAGGTATCAAATCCCTGGAGAGAGTAGTCCTTTTTTTCCCAAATCTCTGGGGTGGGTACAACACTGTCGTGCAGTCAGAGCCTGAATGAAAAAAATAAAATAAAACAAAATAAAACCATGGATGAATAAGGGAGATCTGTAGATTAAGATAATATTCCATGGATGCCTGAACGCACACTAGGAAAACCACGTTTTGAAAAGTGGAAAGAAAAGTTTATTAAAAACATGATTCGTAGGTCTAATAATAATAACAATAATAATAAATGTGAAACTAAAGGGAATGTTGAATTTAAAATGAAATAATTCCTTACTGGTTCCATTAACCAAAAAAACTCTTGATACTCTTGCTATATTTATATCTACATACACGTGTCTCTCTCTATATATATTAAATTAAACTTACTTCATGAATAGGATTCCAAGTGCCAAAACAGATAGTCGCTGAAAACGACATCTGTGTGCAAGCTTGGCCTGTACAATACAGCAAAAACAAAAAGAAATGGCTGCAAAATTCAAATAGTACCAGTTTCCAGACGGAGCATTACCATCATCTTCGTCTTCTTCTTCTACTTCCAATTTCTCAATTCTTCTTCACATTGTCCACATGTTTATTCCTAAATCTCATTTAAATGCTACTTAGAAACTTAAAGAAGAGTGGGGGAGCGAGAGAGAGAGAGAGAGAGAGGCAAAGGGGGACGAACGAAGGGAGGACCTCACTCACTCCACTCTATTCTACTGCTACTGCTACTCCTACTCTATACTTCACTGCACTTCACTTCACTTATTGCGTAACTGAAGGGGGGGGGGGGGGGGGGGAGGGTCAGTTGGAGATGAGATCTGGGGAACTCATTCCCCATGAAACCAGGGAGGAATCGGGGGGGCACACAACAACAACAATACCAGCCATGATCAAATCTTTCCAGATCCTCCTCATACTTCACTTCACTTCACTTTACTCACCTCACTCACCTTTCTCACTGACAACAAACATGTGTTGCCACCGCCCACCTCCCCGGATCTCCGCAGCCAGCCATTCCTCCCCCATAACACATCCATCTATCCATCCACCCATCCATCCATCCCTTTTTCATTCATCCACATATGCGGATGAAACTATGTCAACAGTGTTGTCGTCGTCGTTGCCCAAAAACAGCTCTGTGTGTGTGTGTGTGAGGACATCGCATCGCGTCCGTCCGTCCAAACGCCACGTGTCGACCTAGGGGACCTCGATGGAATACGGTAATAGAATACGGTCTCGGTGCAAATACACCTCTCCATGTATAATAACGTCGTGTAGTTTCCGTAGCTAGTGAGTGTGATTTGTGAAAGCCATTCGGAAAATCACTTAGTGTTGGTGAGCATATTAAAAAAACACTTCTCATCGTGAGAGTTTCAACCACATACTACTACTAGTGGGGGGTGTTCTCTTCCTTTGAAAACATCTCATGTGAATTTAAAAAATAAAGAAAGAAAGATAATGTACCAATTAATAAACTAAAAATGTAAAGAGTGTTTTGAGTACCAAGAAATACTGTTTATTTGTACCTTCAATTTTACCTTTTTTTCTTTGTCCATCTCTTGAAATGTGTAACTTCTTATTTCAATTAATGTTTCTTAAATAATTATATTTATTCTTTTAAGTAAGTATTTCTGGTGATACATTGTGAAAAACTGTTATTTTTGGAATGCAATGAAGTTATAACACTACAACTTCTAAACACCACTCAACCTGTAAAATAGATATAGAAACAAACATTATAATTCTTATTGCAAATTGAGCTGTTTAATTATAGAATTTTCTTATAATTAAAATGATCAAAGTTAATTGGTGTAGGGTTTCCAAAAGTATGTTACTTCTTGCCAAATAAATTATCAAATTTATATTTGTCTTTTATTATTCAGATTTGTATGTTTGTCTTAAATATAATCTTATTCCATATGGTAAATTTTTTAAAATAGAACGCATACAAGTCAATATTCAAATATCTCTCAGTATCTGAATTAATATAGTTTAAAATTAAGAAAAAGAAAAAGAAAAGGAAAAATCATTGGAAGGAAATTTCTTCAAATGTTGAAAGATAAAAAAAAAAAAAAAAAAAAAAAAACCTTTGTTGTGATAAATTTAATGATACTGGATGCAATATTTAAAGATTTTTTACTGTTTTTTTTTGTAATTATATATTTTTTGGATTATAGCTTTAATTTTATAGAATAATATCCCAATCACAATATTTTGGAAACATGTTACATGGTGATTTTTTTCTATATATTTACATTAATATAATAGAATTTATGTGTTATTTCTTCTAAAATCTACATGTGTCAAATTTGTCAATCCATACATGTTGTTGAGTGAAAAGGATTACACCAGTTCTTATAATTGTTTTCTAGTGATTTTATAAAACTAAAAAGTGATACTACCCTTTGACTTTAAAAATACAAGTGGAGTCTCTAGATATACCTTTATTCAGAAATTAAAAGTAAATTCAAGGTTTTAGATTTCATTTGACGGAAAGTTCATAAAAATTTGAGATGAAATTTTGATGTAAAAAAAAGTGTGTTTGTATCTTGAACTTAACTTTATAGAAAAGAATTGTAGTTATTTTTAAAAAATCAATTGGAATAATGTGTGGAGTGCGACACTTTTGGTTGGAAATAAATACAGAAAGAAAAAGAAAAAGAAAAAGAAAATCCAGTAAACAAATTCTAATTATATCTAGTAAGAAATTATATTTAAGAAAATGACACCTTCTATAAAAAAAAAAAAAAACAAAAAAAAAAAAAACCGTGGATTTGACAACATCAAACTCAAGATACCTTAGTTTACTAATATCAATATTTTATTGTATTGTTTTTCTACCTTATCTAATATATTTGGTTTTAGTTTTCATTTTAATTCTCTTAGTTATGAATTATCGATCAGACTTTAGAATCAAACATAGGGGTTTGAATTTATTCTATTATAACTACAGTATGTATTAGTAATAAACAAGTCATGGAAAAAAATTTCATGCATATATTGAAATCACTCATGCAACATAAATTTTATTTATTATCTATCTTTGAAATAAAATGCATATGGATATGTGTATAAAGTTAGCTGCTTGCAAAAAAATATTATCTGTTGAAAATATATATATCAAAGGTTATTACATATGAAAAGAGTTTAAAATAATTCCAATTTATGATTAAATTAGTTAATTAATCTGTCATAGGGGAATATTTTCCGATCTAATTTGGGAAATACATATAAAAAGTAAATTATACTTTTTGTGAAAAAATCATTAATCTAATAATTCAATCTTCTACTCATCCAATCCTCTTCTCCTCTCTTTCCTGTTTTCCTTCTCTCTCTTTCATCACATGTGCATATGTAGCATGATTGTATAAGTAGTTGCCTTTGTGAATTAATAAAACTCAATGAAATTCAGTTATTCATTAGATATTGGAGATTATTAATTATAATCCATAGAAAAAATGGATTCCTAAAGTTTTGATTAGTTATTAGGAGTTATTAGATTTTGGAGGATCAATTATTAAGGGGAGAACTATGTGTGTATGGGAGTTATTCTATTTATCATGGGAGTGTTGAGTTGACAATTCATATATATAACAGAATGATAATAGAATATTTGCAATACTATTGAGTTTTTAAACCATCTTATAGTTTTTCACTAGTCTAATTGAGTTGTGTTTGTTCTGCTTAATTGGTTGCAAATAACTTGTGTTATTTGAAAACATAAAAATCAAGTATTACTATTTTTAAAGTTTTTTATTTTTTATTTTTTATATTGGAGTAAATAATAGAGTAAACTGATATGTTTGGTTTCTTTGATAATTCTATACTTTATTCTTTTAAAGATGTGACTATTTACTATCATAAAATTTAAATGTGTATAAAAAGAAAGTGATTTAAAATCTTCAATTAAATAAATAAAGGCTGCATTATATATATATATATATATATATATATATGGATATATATGGAAGATCTTTCATGGAATTTTCATTCAAGTTTTTATTTTTATTTTTTTCCTTCTCTCTTTTATAGTTATTTTCTCAAAACAAAGAACTGGAAACTCATCAGGTTTCTACGTTTTTCATTTTATTTTTTAAAGTTGAATAAAATTACAACAATTATATCAAATGTTTTTTTAAATAATATATTGGCCATGAATGTT